CCGGTCGCTTCGGTACCCCCCTCCCAGCATATCTCCACACACACTCCTAGAGAGCCTCGGCAGACAGACGAGAGAAAGCAGAGGGGCCCCGAGCACATCCATGTACCACCCCGGACTCACAGGGGAGGCAATCCTCCGCCGTGGGAAAGCGATAGCGCCTTGATGCGGTGCTTTCCACGGAGGGTAGAAAATAAAGCGCACAGTAGCCAGAGCACGGAGAGGGAGCAAACACCCGCAGAACCACACACAAAATAAAAGGGAAGCCATTTTTCTACTCTCATTCCCACAAACGAGGGGAACGACTCCCTTATCCGCACACGAAAGCAGCCTCCCGGGCGCCTTTGCCGGGCACCAGCTCCGTGCGGGCTCGGGGAGCTCCGGCTCGGAAACGCCGCGGCATCGCGCCCAGCTCCGGCAACGCAACGCCGCGGCATCGCGCCCCGGCTTCAGCACGGCCCAGCTTCCGGGCTGGGGCGGAGGGGGAGGCAGCTGGTGTCTTAGCAGTTAAAGAGTAAGGAAAGTCTCTCTTTCAGTTTTAGCTTCAGAGAAGGCGGCTACCGGGAAAATCTGCTGAGCAAATCTTTGGTCAAACCGTGGATTTGTTGTCCGCTCTGAATTTCTGGTGTTTTCAGGGCTCCTTGCTGAATTTGCTGTTTAACTCGAAACACGAATCGGTGCCCCGTTAAAAGCTTTATCTAACGCTTTCCGTAGTGCTCAAGCGAATTAGGAGCTAAAAGCCCGTTTTCAAAAGTGAGGGCAGGCTGAATTCAGCAAGTGAGTTAGGCACAGCAGCAGCCTCCTGCTGCTCGGGATTGTGCCTGAGAACACAGCCTTCAGAAACCAGAGGCAGAGCAGGGAAGCTGCCTAACTTACCCATTGTAAAGGCCAGGCGGAGGGGAGGGGGTGAGCCTGCTTCTCAGTAGTACTCGTATGCTTAAATCCAGGCTCATCATCTTGTGTGAGTCTCCTGAGTCACATCACACCTTCTTCCTAAAGATCTGGGAAGTGAAAGGTCTGTTGAACAAACTGGCTGGACACCTTCATGGAGAAACGGGATACATAGCACTAACCCCTGGTGCTGCCTGATTTCAGGTAAACAGCTGAACTCAGGTATTTTGTATGCAAAGTGAAAATCCCAATCACCAACTTGTTAGGCACTCAGATATAATTGCTCTTCATCTCTCCTAATGATACATTTGATTTTATATTAGACACAGAGGTGGCTGGAGAGTACAAGAAAAAGCGGCTGCTCAAATAGCCTCGTGGCCAGGGCACTCCTCAGAGCCGTAGGGCCGTTCAAATTAAATCCAGCAGAGTGGCGACTGGCAAGTCAGTCTCCCATTGCTTGGGATATAATATACTGTACCCAATGAGCTGTTGGATGCAATAAGGGGGTTCTCCCCCTGCCTAGCTTTCCACAAAAGCAGGCTGATGTGGCTTAAGCACTTAACTGCAAGGGAGTTTGTGGCAAAAAGAGACACCTTCTATCCTGTCTATCACAGTGCTGGGTCCCACTACATATATATTAGAATATATATATATTCTAACCCAAGGAGCGTGTGGATTACTGAAGTTTCCTTTCATTAGCTTTTAACTCTCTCCACACCTTGTGTGAAGCACAGTGGTGTCTGTCCCTGGCCTGAGCAATCTGTTCCACAGCAGGGAGCCGAAAAATGAGGCATTGCGATAATGGGCATTGCAACACACGGCTCCTTGGGGCTGGCCCGAGGCCCCTCTGCAACACGGACCCATTGTCTGTCCAACTCTGTGGCAGGAGAAGCTGGAGGCAGAACCAGAAGCAACAGCTCTGACTCATTTAACTACGAGTAGTAAATTGTAATGTGCTGCACAGAGAGATTTGGTGGTGATTTGCTTACAACAGTAAATCGGTCGACATTAACTCCACTCCATTGTACTTCTTCATCTCGGAGATCTTTTATCCCTCCAGGCTGGATCCGGTTCCCACCCTG